TAGGGAAAGCCCCATCACTGAACACCCCCTTTGCCTTCCTTGCACCCTCTCACCTCACCCTGGACTTCCCCCCGACGGCCCTGGCCCCTCCCTGTAAGCCCCAGCCCTTCTCGGAGGGGCAGCCCCTGCACAGTCGGGTCCTGCTCGTCCTAGCCCCTCCCCAGACAGCCCTTGGGCTGGCGACCGAGTCAGCACCGCCTCTCCGAGTCGCGACTGGCCGAGAATGGCAGAGGGGCTCCCTACGGTTTGCAGCCAGCTCGGGGGAGGGAGAAGAGAAGGAAGGGGGCGGGGCTGAGGGGGGCGGGCCTGGACTTGGGGAGTGAAAGCGAAAGCTCGGGCGGCGAGCGGAGACTGAGATCTAGCTACTGGAGCAGCATGGCCAAACCTTGTGGGGTGCGCCTTAGCGGGGAAGCCCGAAAACAGGTAAGGGGGGAACAGAAGGCCAGGAAAGAGCCGGGGTGCCTTCTTGGATGGAGGCCAGATTGCATGATCCAGGAGCCCAAAGCCAGAAACTCCTCCACCTTTCTTTTTAATGCTTTCACTTCTGCTCCGGGAGTTCTCACATCCCCGCCCTTGGCCAATCTCTGCACCAAGCCGGGGCTTCCAGGGAAATCTGACTGGTGGTGGGAAAGGCCTGAGCCAAGTTGGAGGGCATCCCGTTAGGGGTGGATCTTACTCTTGGTAAGTGAGACCCTTAACTAACATCCGGGTACTGCTCTCTGTGCAGGTGGATCTCTTCAAGCAAAATCTTTTACAGGAGTTAAGTCTTTTGGTTTGAGCGATTTGAAGCAGATATTAAATATTAAATCATTAATTGAGTGTGGTAACCTCTCAGAGTGACCCCCAAATCCACCCAGACCTGGTCCCTATTTATCAAGCCTTCAGCCACGATAAGCTCATTCATTTCTGCTTTTAATTTGACTCCTGTTAATACTCTCCCCACTTCTTCTGCCACTTCCTTTCGCCTCTTTTGGTATGGAGGGAAAAGGTGTGCCTCCAAAGTAGGAATACCAGGCTTTACCTTGGTTCTGCTGCTTCCCAACTAGGGCAAGTTCCTTCATTTCTTAGGGCTTCCATTTCCTCATTTGTAAGTCTTGGATTTGATGATTTCCAAGGGCCCTTTCAGTCCCATGTCACTGAGTATCTTCTGTGCATCCCAAACCTTGTGATATAATCCACAGGCAGAGGAATTCCTCTCCAGATTCTTGCCACAGAAAATTATATGCCTGAATCAGCTCTTACAAGTGAGTAGTGCGGGCCCTCCTGCCTCATAGCGTGGCTTCTCTCCTTTCCACGTGCCCTCTTTAGCTAACAGTTCAGCATGCAGAGAACATTGTGAGTAGTGGGCTGGGAATATGAAGATGGTGTGACCCTCAGTCTAGGTAGGGAAGCAGGGGAGGTGTGGGGTGTGTGGAGGAGAGACTGCCTCAGGCTGAGGGGAAGAGGGTGAGCAGTCAATTCCTGACTCTGTGCTCTGTGCAGGAGGACACCCTCAATGTGGCTGACCTGACCTCTCTCCGGGCCCCCCTGGACATCCCCATTCCAGACCCCCCACCCAAGGATGATGAGGTGAGGCACTCAGATATAGAATTCGGACTTTAATCAGGGTGTAGGATTGGGACTCTAATCCCAAAGGGGACAATTGGCCCTCCAAACCCTATGACTTTCCTAAAGCTGCCTTCCCCCTTTTTACCTTAGATGGAAACAGATAAGCAGGAGAAGAAAGAAGGTGAGCAAGGAGTGGTAGGGAAAGAGGAATGGCACATGAGCTGCTGGAGGGGAAGGGGCTAAATCTCCTCTTTCTTACAGTCCCTAAGTGCGGCTTTCTCCCTGGGAATGAGAAGATCCTGGCCCTTCTTGCCCTCGTGAAGCCAGAAGTCTGGACTCTCAAAGAGAAATGCATCCTGGTAAGCCTGGGAAGTGAAGAAATAGAAAGAGAAGACCAAGGCCAGACCTTGGTCTCCTTCAGAGACGTAAGTCCTTGTTCAGAAACCTATTCCCAAAATAGAAAACTTCCTTCTGTGTCTTGGGTTTAGATACCTTTTGTTCTCCTCATTCCGTTAGACCTGATACCACAGTGGTACCCCTGTGGGACATCTACCTCCTTGAGCTCAGAACTTACTGCTGTACCAGGTGCACAGTGCAGGTGCTCTCATAAGTGAGTGGATTTAAGAGCTTGGGGCCTAGAGGAAGACTGCCTGGCTCAGGCAGACCTCACAGATTCTGACTCTATCACTTACCTAGCTGGTTACCTGGCTGGTTAAATAAATCACTTAGACATTCTGCAACTCCAGTTTTTTCATCTGTTAAGTTTAATATTATTATAATTGTTAAGTTATTATAATTATAATATTATAATAATATAATTTAATAATTATTATAATAATTATAATATTATTATAATTGTTAAGTACAATATTATTATAATTGTATTATGCAGTAGGATACTTTGACAAGTTTCTGTGAAGATTAAATTATATAATGCTTAGGATGGTGTCTGGCACGTGAGTGCTCAACTAAGCTATTATTAGCCAGTGGCAATAATAGAAAGGACTCAGAAGTTCGTTCAATGATTCCGATTTGATACTTGCAATGTAGGTGATCACATGGATTCAGCACCTGATCCCCAAAATTGAGGATGGAAATGACTTTGGGGTAGCAATCCAGGTAAGAAAAGGGTGTGTGCGGACACTGAAAGTGGGGAGAGACTTGGGAGTGAGGGATAAGAGCTAGACGTGAACTGGGGTAAGGAAGGGGGTGATGAGTGAAGGAGGGAGATGAAGTGTTTTCTTTGCCTCCTATCTTTTTTGTCACCACAGGAGAAAGTGCTAGAGAGGGTGAATGCAGTCAAGACCAAAGTGGAAGCCTTCCAGACAACCATTTCCAAGTGAGGACAGTTGGAGGGCTGGCATGGGGGGCTGCAGGGACATTTCTTTGGGACTCCCAAAGCTGGTTAGTCCCATCAGGAGAGTAGAGGACCTTGGAAAGGGCCTGAGGGAGTATGTCTCTCTGAACACTCATTCCTGTAATTACTCCCTTTTAACAGATACTTCTCAGAACGAGGGGATGCTGTGGCCAAAGCCTCTAAGGAGACCCATGTAGTGAGTAGATCAGTTCTCAGCTTTGTAGCTGAGACTGCCTGGGGGTGAGCAAGGAGGGGGGTATAGAGGTTCTCCTTGTCTCAGTTATGACCTTCCCAATGTGAAAAATACTACCAAAAACATTGTCTATGAAAATTAATTTGGGCTTTAAAACCCTTGATCTCTTTGTCTACTTGATCCTATGGGATCCCATTTCTTGGTGCTGAGAAGGGTTTCATCCTTAAGTTACCTATTGCCTGTATGAAGAAACCAGACTAATGTCCCAACCTCCCATGGAACTGACTCAACTTTGCTTCCCACATTCCAGATGGATTATCGAGCTCTGGTGCATGAGCGAGATGAGGCGGCCTATAGGGAGCTCAAGGCCATGGTGCAGCACCTGAGGTCTTTCTATGTGAGTGTGGGGGAAGCCTCTAAGGGAGGTGGCTGAGGGGGGCAGGTGAAAGGCCAAGAACCTGACTGCTGCCGTTCTGGCTTTCTTCCAGGCTGAGCTTTATCATATCATCAGCAGCAACCTGGAGAAAATTGTCAATCCAAAGGGTGAAGAGAAACCATCTATGTATTGAGCCCAGAGTTGGAGGGAAATAAATGACTTACACTTTGTGTTGATTACTTTTGACGCATGTCATTCATTCACAAAAGCATTTATTGAGTGCCACCAATGTCCAGACACTGAATGTGAGTGTGGTTCTGGGAAAGGGAGGGGTTGCCAGGAAGACAAAGATGAATTAGATGTCCTTCCTGTTCTTAGGAAGTGATCCTAGGGCCTCCCTGGTGGTGCAGGGGTTAAAGACAGCACTATCAACTTATTGGCAGCCACTGCAGCACAAGTTCGATCCCTGGCCAGGGAGCTAACCCACATGGTGCAGCAGGCTTGTCCTGTCTTGCCAGGTGCTCCCCTCAGCAGTGTATTTCAGTGGATCTGCCTGTTCTGCTCCCCACTCTCTCTGGTGAATCCTCTCACCTCCCACACCTCTGGCCTGTACCCCAGTTCTTGCACGCATAAATAAATTAAAAAAAAAGTCATCCTAAAGAACAGGATGGAAACTGTTACATGAAGATTATCCATATTTGGAAATCACACAAGATTATTCCCATCAGGGGGCTCTTGAGTGCTTCCTGGAAGAGGTGGCTTTTGGGCAGACTAGGAGAAAGCTCTGTGGCTGAGGCTAGAGAATGAAGAAAAGAACCATGCTAGTCATCAGCTCGGCGTGCAAGCCTGGAGAGCAAATGAGATTTCGCTAGGAGCATTACGGGTGAATGACTGGATTCCTTCTCAAGGACTCGGGAGGGGGAGGACGCTCCCAAGGAGAAGGAAATTACACCAAGTCTGTCCATTTCCCTTTTTTATTATTTTTTCCCTCCTTCAGTCAATTGCCGTCTTTATTTTTACAGATACTGTATTAGGGAAATCAAGGCCAGATAATCTAGTATGAAAGATAACACGGCACATTAGTAAATGATAGAGCCGGTCTAAAGTACAAATTCACCCATTCTGCAGTAGGAGCAGGACTGTTCGCTGCGTGCCTGCGTCCGAAGGGCTCGTGCTCCGGTTCTCCAAGCAGGGCGGGAGGCCGGGTCACTGGCGGAACAGGCCTGCGATGGAGAGCCGCGGCGGGGCAGCCTATCGGCGTGCGTCAGCCAATCAGCGTGCGGGCTGTTCACTTCAGTTTACGTTTGTAGGTTCTTTCCAGGCCACTAGAGACGAAGGCGGGGCCAGGGTTGGACTGCGGCGCGTCATTGGGTAAAGCGAGAACCTATAAACCTATCAGAGAACACCACGTGGGCGGGACTCCAGAAGTCATTCCGCCGAGAGAAGCCGGCACCAGGACTCCCGCGGAGGGCAGCCGCTGGCGCGGGGCGGGAGGAGGGGGGAGGCGGAGCTGGGCGCCTCCGCGAGCCGTCCGGGCCGCCGGCCTCCGGGCCAAGTGGAGACCGAGCGTGGGGGTCCAGGTCGCCGCAGCCGGCGGGCTGCCTGCCAGCCTCGTCACCTTTCCCGCCGAGCCCAAGTGAAGGGGTGCGGGAAGAGCCAGGGAGGGCGCCGGGGCTCCGCAGGGAGCTCCGCGGACGCGAGCCCGGGCCGCGCTCACCATGGGGGAGGTGGAGATCTCGGCCCGGGCCTACGTGAAGATGTGCCTGCACGCCGCCCGCTACCCTCACGCCGCCGTCAACGGCGTGTTGCTGGCGCCGGCGCCGCGGTCGGGAGGATGCCTGTGCCTCACCGATTGCGTGCCCCTGTTCCACAGTCACCTGGCCCTTTCCGTCATGCTGGAGGTCGCCCTCAACCAGGTGCCGTTGCCGGACGCCCACCGACGACCGCGACCCCCCCGAGACCCCTAGCCTAAACCCACCCCTGGTCTCTTGGCGGCCGAGCGCACAATTTAGTTACTGATGGCCCCTTTCCCGTGGCAGGTGGATGTGTGGGGCGCGCAGGCCGGCCTGGTAGTGGCTGGGTACTACCATGCCAATGCAGCTCTGGACGACCAGAGGTGAGTAGGGCAGCCAGAGGCAGAGGGCTAAGGATTAAGGAGTGGGGTGGGAGTGTCAAGGGACCCCTCTTGGTCGTCCCGTCTTGCTTTTACTAAACGCTTAAAAGCAGGGACTGTGTGCGGCCCTGGGCTGGGAACTGAAATGAGGGATCAAAAAAATATAAAGATGTCCTGGAGGAGCTGCAGTGCAGTGGGGAGGACAGCAGTGCTTTAGTGAGACCGGGCTGATACCCGCTTTAACTGAGGGCCCCCCAAGTGCTGAAAGAACATAGGGGAAGCCCAACCAGCAACTTTTTAAAAGGACATTTCCATATGTATATGTACATATAGATATATATGTTATCTACTTGTGTATATATACTAATCATACATCTGGATCAAATTTTACAGTTTTGCAATGTCCTTTCCCCTCCTCAGTAAATTTGATCTTTCCAGCTCTACACCAAGATCAATCTTATAATGGCTATGTAGTATAAATACACAGGTGCCATAATGTATGAAATGCCTTACATGAAACACTGAGGTTGGTTGTTATTACAGACAATATAAATTCTTTATAAGTGGAGTTTCTGGATCTGTATATTTGTGTGTGGGGGTGTGTATAATCTGCATATATCTATAAATAGTGCAGTTTAAATTTGGTTGGCTATGCCAAATTACCATCCAAAAAGGCCACCTTTGATTTCCACTCTCACCAGCACTGTCTGCACCTGTTTCCCATAGCCCTCAAGCATCAAGTCATCTTTCGTGAAGCGTCAAGCAGGCCTGACCTCCTCAGGCCAGTACAGGGAAAGGCCATCTCTGTGCCCGTGTCTGTGTGACCTGGGAGGCCCAGCTAAGATGGAACTGGTTCTGCCCACAGTTGGCTCCTCACTCCTCTGATCTTTCCTCTACACAGCCCTGGGTCCCTGGCCTTGAAAATTGCTGGGCGGATTGCAGAATTCTTCCCTGAGGCAGTACTTATTATGGTGAGGCTTGGGTTCCAGGTGGGGAGTTGGAGAGAAAGTAGGGAGGGGAATCCTTAAAACCCTCACCTGCCTTTCCTTGTCCACACAGTTGGATAATCAGAAATTGGTGCCTCAGCCTCATGTGCCCCCAGTCATCGTACTGGAGAACCACAGTCTCCGCTGGGTCCCCAAGGACAAGAATTTGTGAGTGCCCCACACCCTCCGCCTCTTTCTGGAAACCCACCATGCCTGGGGGCCCTCTGTCCTTGGTCCTGCCTCAGTGGTGCTTCTCTAGACCCAGTCTCTGCCAAGAGTCTGGTCCCTCTGCCGCTAAGTTTGACCTCCATGGGGTTATTATTTCAGAGTGATGTGGAGGGACTGGGAAGAGTCACGGCAGATGGTGGGTGCACTACTGGAGGGTCGAGCCCATCAGCACCTTGTAGATTTTGATTGCCACCTTGATGACATCCGACAGGATTGGACCAACCAGCACCTCAACACCCAAATCACCCAGTGGGTTGGTCCCACCAATGGAAATACCTGAGTGAGGGCTGGGGTGGGGGGTTGAGTCGGGGTGGGGGTCAGAATCCAATAAACAGACTTGGGCTGATGGGCAGTCATATGACTTATATTTATTGTGTTTGGGAGACAAAGTGAGGGAGAAACCTCACCAGGAAGTAGAAGGTGAGGGAAAGTCTGGACTGTCCCGTAAAGGACAGGAAGGTCTCTTTTGGACTCATCACAAAATGAGAAGCTCTCAATAGATCATTCCTTTTGTTTCTCCCCTGGGCTTCTTGAGCTTCTCGAAGTTCTTCAGGATGATGTCATCTAACACAGCCTATAGGGCCAGGGAGGAGTAGGGGGTCAGCTGTAGGCCCCAGTGGCTCTATGCCCCATTTCTAGTCTTGTGGAACAGTTGAGCTTTGTCATTCTTCACCCCCAGCCTGCAGGGTTAGGAAGTGGGTGTCCTGGGAAAGCTGCCTCCACCCACCCCTGCCCTGGCCTCCTCACATAAGCGTTGCGGATCTCCATGACCATCAGCCGGATGTCCCGGTACTCTGCCTCATCTAGCTCATGCACCAGCTGCCGGTAATCACCCTGTGGGAGACTTGGGTCAGGCTTGACTTCAAATGTGCCCTTCCCCCTACAACCCCCTGTGCCTCACCTACCACGTGGGGCTGCTTGGCTGCTTTGGCCACGGCATCGCCCCGCTCAGAGAAGTACCTGTGGGAAGTAAAAGGATGTGCAGTGGGAGAAGGCGGCAGCCCAGGCCCTCTGTCCAAGCCAAAGGCAGAGTGTGCATGTGGGTGCTGGTGGGCAGTCACTCACTTGGAGATTTGAGTGTGGAAGCCTTCCAGCTTGGTGTGAATACTGGTCATCAGCTCAAACACCTTCTCCTGGGGAACAAAGGCAAAGGGGACAGTGGAAAGCAGCAGAGACTAGAGAGGGAGGGAGGGCAGGAGTGGGGCTGTGATCTCACCTGGACAGCCACTCCAAAGTTGTTTCCATCCTCAATCCGAGGTATCTGCAGCTGCAACCAGGTGGTGACCTGGGAGAAGGGAATGGCATGAAAGCCGCATCAGCCTTCAACCCAATTCCTAGCTGCCTATCCTTCCTTGCTTCCCTGCCCACAGTGAGTGGAGGTATGCTTGGTCCATCCTGAACCCCAAGGCCTGGACTAACGACTTCCCTTGCTGTGCCCGCTTCTGCTAAGATCTGGCAGGTTATTTCCTATCCAGCAGGAGCCAAGGAGGAAAAAGGGTTACTGAAGCCTGGGGGTGGATGTGGGAGCACTCACTAGGTTAAGTTTCTCAATGACATCCTTGATTTCAGGCTTTAGGCGCTGCAGAAGGACCACGATCTTCTCATTGCAGCTCACTGGGCCACAGGGAGGACCTAGGGCATGGGCAGTGGTCAGTCACATGGCTGGAACTGTGTGCGAGGCGGGGAAGGGAGGATCTCTGGGGAGCTGAGATGCAAGTCCCTTGCCATTATAGAGGTACCTTTGTCTTCATCTTCCCCTTTCTTTTTTTCATCCTTGTCTTCCTTCTGCAAGGAGAGAGGGCTTCTTGGGAGAGAGGCCTAAGACTGATTTTCCCTGTGGCTGGGTCCCTCCTCCCAGTCCTTCCCAACTTGCCTCCTGCTGTTTTTTCCGCTCCTCCTTTTCTTTCTCCTTGGCTGGATCAGGCACTGGGATGTCCAAAAGGGCCTTCAGACTGCTCAGGTTAGTTTCATTGAGCGCTGGCTCCTGGTGCAGGATGGGAAGATGGCTGGAGATAAGGACGACCCTCTCATGGCCCCTCAGACTCTCTCCTTCACCCCTACTCTCTAGCTTCCTGCATGCCCCGTACCTTTAGAAACGCATCCAACTCAGAAATCTTCTTGGGGAAGTAGCTTCCGAGGAGATGCTCTGTCTGCATGAGGTGGGCGTGGGGGACAAGGAGGTCAGAATCAAATGCCTTCCGTAGGCAGTGAAGCAGGGGAGAGCCAAGCAGTGGGAACTGGGGAGGGATGGGGTGCTGATGGGCAGGTCTTACCATGGCACATAGGTCTTCACGGAACATATCCACCTGTGGGACAGACAGTCCTCAAACACCTGGCTTTATGGCCAGTTCATTGGAGGAAACTTCACTTAGGTTGGGTAAGGAAGGCCTGGCCACGGGGAGGGTGGAATGGATCCCGCGGGGCTGGTTTGGGGGACAGAACATTTCCTGGCGGTGAGGGGCAAGTGGTTTAAGTGGGAGCAGACCCCTTGGGTCTCCAACTGGGGCGGGGGCCGAGTGCCCCGCGGAGTGAGCTTGGGGCCATCTGTATGAAAGGCCATGAGGTGGCAGGTTAGGTCCCACACCCCGTTCGTGTGTGGTCCCGGGCCAGCGGACTTCCCCTCCATGCTAGCTCTCCGCTTCGCCTCACCCCACTGAACCCCAGCCGCCTCTCCTCTCTGGGAAGGCAGAACTCTCCGGTCTCCCCAGGGCTCAGGTGCTCCGGGCACCGAGGCTCGGATGACTGACCCCCACCCCCCACTCAAGTCTGGGGTCCAGGGATGGGGGGCGGGTCTCGGACGTGTGGAATCTTTTCGAGCCACGCCTCCCCAAAGGGCCCATCTTCGACCCACTGAGCTCACCTTGGCTTGGTCTTCAGGCTGGACCTTGGGCATGGCCATGGCCGGGGCGGGGGGCCTAGCGCCGCACGAGGAGCGAGGAGTGGGCACGGGAAGGGAAAGTGAAAGCAGCGCTCACACCCGCTCGACCTTCCTGGGTAGCGGGGAGTGGAGGTGCTGGAGGAGGCGGGCCCAGAGCAGAAAGAGGAGGCCGGCGGAGGGGCGGGGCACGGCCGGAGCGGGGCTCCCCCTAGAGCCGGAGAGGCGCGTTTCCACCGACCTCCTCCCCCGGCCGCTCCCCTCCGCTCCATCCGCTCTGACTCCCGGCCCCCCCACCTCTGAGAGTCTCTGGACCCCCTCCTACTGCTCTTCCACCCCGCCTCCCCCGTCTCCGCCCTACTCGCCGCGCCCGCCTCTCCCCCTCTGCCAGTCTCTGGACGCCCCACCCGCTGCCCCGCCCTCCCGCCCGTCTCCGCGCGCCCCGAAACCCCTCCCACCGCCCGCCCTTGACCCCGCCTCCCCGACCCCGCCGCGCGCGCCCGCCTCCTGCCTCGGGGCTCCCCACTGGCTGTCCTCCCCGGAGTCGTGTGGTGCAGTGATGAGCCTTATCTGGTGCGCGTCCATCTTCCTCGGCGGTGGAGCGAGACCGTCCCTGGCTCCACATTCGGGCGCTGGAACCACCCCCAGCCCAAGCCCCGCCGAGCGCTTTCCTGCCCGCCGTGGACACATTGCTCCGTCACCGCCGTTCACATCACCGGGAGCCCACCCTGATTTTGCTTAAAACTTCCCCTCAGCTTTCTGTTGATCTTAGAATGAAATTCAAAGTGCTTATTTGGCTCATAAGTCCGACTGACCTCTCTGGCACCTGTTCTTCAACTTTCCACTGCTTTCTCCTGTTGTTGTACTTGAGAATACCTGGGTTTTCCATTTGTTTCTCGAATCAAACCTGTCGATATCGCCATTCCTGCCTCAGGAGCTTTGTCCTTGCAAATCCCTTTCCTGACACACCTTCCCTACCTCAGCTTGTCGTTGGGGTCTCAGCTTACATGTCCCATCTTCAAAGAAAACGTCATCATCCTCTCTCCAAGTCTCTTTGTTACAAAGCAGCCTGTTTTAGGACCTTCATGGCGCTAACCTCTCTGTGACCAATCTGTGTTTTGAGGACAGTGTGGTTTAGACCAGGGGTTGAAAAGTTTTTTCTGTAACAGGCCAGTAGTAAATATTTTAGGACTTGTGGACCATATAGTGTCTATACTCAACTCTGCCCTGTAGCAGGTTGACAGCTATACCTAAAGTGAATTAGCATGACTAGGTTCCAATAAAACTTTATGGATGGACACGAATTTGAATTTCATGTAATTTTCACAGGGCATGAAATCAGATTTTTCTTTGATTTTGTCCACCTCATGGAAATGTAAATACTATTCTTCGCTCCGAAGTCATACAAAAACCAGCCACAGGAGGGCTTTCGTTTGCTGATCCCTGGCTTAGGGCACAGACAATGGATCCATATTGCTCGTGTTTATAATTCTGGACTATCATATTTATGAGATGTAGGCAGTTACTTAACCTCTGTGCCTCCATTTTACAACTATATAAATGAGCACTACTAAACCTTCCTCACAGTGGTGGTGTTATGAGGGCTGAATGTGTTAATTTATATGAATTTACAGATATACTCAGCAGTGTCTAGTACAGAGTAAACACAATATACTATTACTGTTTGTGAGTTTATCACCTGCCTGCCCCATAGCCTCCACTCCCAACAGCAGAACATGTGTCTTGATTATTCACATGCCATGGAGCTATCATTGGCTCAATAAACATCTATTAAATGAGCACAAAAAGACCTCCTGTGGGGAAGACTGGGCAGAAGTGTCCCTGAGTGCCAGATGTGTAGGCCCCTGAGGAAGGCAGAGGGGGGAGTCAGTGGATGAGGCAGGAAAAAACTAACCAACCAGGTTGGAGGTTGGACACCTGCTCTGCTGGGATGCCTAAGGGTGCTGTTACCTGCCCTGGCAGTGCCACTGCTTGATGTCAGAGCTCTAGGTAACTTTTAGTCTACAAAGACTAGGAGACTGCAAGGACAGCAGGGAGGACGGAGACCATCCATACGGAAGGATATCGAGGTTAATGACAGCATTCAGGCTTGAGGACAAGAAGACTGGGTCTCTGGGGAACCACAGTGACCACCAAACTCTTTTTCACCCTGTCCAGGTACCCCTAACCACATGATGAGATGAACCAGAGCAGGGGCGAGGCTTGATGTGCCTTTATTTCTTTCAGTTGTGCTTGCGGCTGGAGCGGACGCGAGGGAAGAGCCCATGGCCTGGGCTCCCTGGAGACCAGGCCTGATGATACCAGCTGCCATAGGTGAGGTACCAGGCAAAGGTGCCCACTGCAGCACCCACCACCTTGTGAGTATACTGGTGGAAGTAGATGACGGTACAGAGCAGTAAGAAGTTCCAGAGGCCCAGCAGGAGCACATTGAGCAGGAATACTAGACGCAGGGGTGTGCCAGCAGGCAGCCCATGGGCCAGGTACTTGGCAAACACCGCTGCTTCTTCAGCCATGAGCAGGCAACAGAAGGTGAGCAGGAAGGTGTGGGAGGAGACCGTGTAGCCCCGCCACTGGTGGCCGGCAGCCAGGCAGCTGCGACGATCTGGCAGCTCATGGAGCAGCAAGCCCTGGGGCAGAGGCTCAAAGCAGGAGCCGGTCAGGTCCTCGATGAGCAGGAAGGCCCGGCCCGCCCCTCGCCACACAGCTGCCCCCACCACCAGCCGGCTGAGGTGCCGAGCAGTCACTGCCACACGCCGTGTAGCAAGGAACACCACCAGCAACACAAAACCACCCAGGAAGGTGCATGTCCAGCCCCATGCTGAATTCACGAACTTTCTGTGAACAGAAAAGAGGGGCAACTACTGAGACCGTCCAGCCCTATCTCACCACCATGGTCTATTCCCATCACTGTCTGTCCTGTGTCCCACAAATCATCAACTGGTTCTGTTTCCCGTGTCCTATTACCCATCCCCCTCCCCCATCCAAACTTTGCCATCTCCTTAGAGACCCATTCAGCCTTCTAGGGTCTGTATTTCCTATTCAGCTGTGCTCCCGACTTCTCCTGTACCCCCATCACTCTGTTCCCCTCCCCCTTGTATGACCTTCTCCTCAACCTCCTAGACTATTTTTAGTCCGAACTGGCAGGAGAACAGAAGCCCAAAAGAGAGAGCTGAGGTCCCGGAGTGTAGGGGGCCAGCACCCATAGCCGTGAGTGCACTCACATGTTGAAGAAGTTTCCGTGACTGGCGAAGATAGTCCGAGGGTTGACATGGAACTGCAGAAGGGGCCCAAAGATGACCACTGCTGCCAGCCAGGCATGATAGAGCCGCCGTAAGCAGGGGCTGCCGAGGAGGCGGGCGGCCTGTTCACTTCCAAAGTACAGTAAGGCAGAGGCCACCCAGAGTAGCACCTTAACCAGGCCGCCCAGCAGTGCCTGGATTCGGGCCCCGGCCCCCCGCCCTGCCCCCACCACTGGCCCCCTCTCCATGTTCCCTCCCCTTCCCACTAACCGCTTGCTCTGCTGGGCGGCTGAGGAGGGGCTGATGGGGCCCCCCCGGGACACAGACAGGCAGTGACAGGTGTGGCAGACACAGGGCAGAGCCCTGTTGGCAGCTGGCAGGCGGGGGAAAGGGGCGGGGGGCCGTAAGGGGACAAGATGATGGGCTGCCACGTCAGCAGGGTCCTAACCTCGGGTGTGTGACCTGACAGTGGCTTATGACCTGTCCTGTTAGCCCTGTGTCCCCTCAGCCCTCTAGGTCTGTGTCTCCAGCTCCAACCATGTTCTAGTTTGTGTCTCAGGGCCAGGCATACTGTTCAGGGTGCTTTTTCTCCATAGCCTGCTTGGGTCTGCCTGTGTCTGTTTGGGGTGTGGTGGGGGTTGGCCAAAGTCACCCTCACGCCACCCCAACTATACGGCATGTTTGATCCATAGGAAAATGAGGATTCATGAAGATAAAACTAGCCCAAACTTGAAAATTATTTTTAAAATTCTGTTTGTATCATCACCAGTATGGTCCAGCGCCTCTCCTTAGCCAAAGAGCCCACACAGGATGCGGCAAGATGGCTGCACATGGCAGTGTGTCCAACTCAGGCCTGGTGAGGCATGTCAGCTGGGGTGTCCACTTGGGTGCTCCGTGGCTCCAGGAAATTGGCCCAGCTGCAGCTCCTATCCGATCTTAGGGACTCTGGTGACCTGGTTTGACCCCAGGGCTGTTATTTAAACTGGTGATTGTACAATGGACAAGACATCAGAGCTAACGGGGGACCATTATTGTGTATGTTTATTATGATGACCAACAGATAAAATCCAAGTGTTCTGAGGAAGGTATACTATCTGAGATGGACTCAGAGAGTATCAAAGATCAGGTTTATGCCTCTAAGTGATAGGGGGCAAAAGGAAAACCCCAACTTGGAGTCTGAGGAAACCTTAGGTTGTATCTTCTAGCCAATGACCTGGGCATCAGCTCCCCATGAGATTTGGCCTCCCAGCCTGAACACTGGGGTTGGAACAACAGGGTGAAGAGACACCCACCCAAGGAGAAGTTCCATTTATTCTGTAACTGTTTTGAGATCCCTGTTGTCTTCCTCCCTCAGTCCTTAAAACTGGTGGTTCAGGGGCCTCCCTGGTGGCCTAGGGGTTAAGTCTCAGCGCTATCATGACGAAGGCCTGGGTTCAATCTCCAGCCAGGGAGCTAACCCACATGCCGCAGCAGACCTCTTCTTTCTCACCCACTGCTCCCCTCTGCAGTTTATTTCAGTAAATCTGCCAGTTCTGCTCCCCTGCTCCCCACTCTGTCACTGGTGAATCCTCTCACCCCCTGCCTTCAGCACCTCCAGCCTATATCCCAGTTCTTCTATGCAAAAAAAAAAAAAAAAAAAAAAAGGTGGTTTGATTTCAGACACAAGGAGCCTACAAAATGGTGAAAGGAATGAGCAAGCAAGAACACTGAAGTTCTGGGAACTTCAGTGCGACTTGGGAAAATTAACCAACTGTGGGACTTTGGGAAAATTAACTAACCCTTCTGGGTCCTCAGCTATAAAATGATTAAGATGGATTAATCAGTCAGGTTCTAGACCCTTGGCATGGTTCCCACTTGTGGACCTGCATAACACAAAGACCTATTGAATGCTTCACACACTTTTGACAAAAAATTTTATTGTAATTCTAAAAAGTTGCAAAGGACGTATTTTCCAGTGTATTGTATATGCTGACATTTAAAAAAATAAAGCTTATTTTATGTCGTGCTTTTAAAAATATATCCATTGCAATCTAAACACTACAATGATTGGATATTTTATTATTATCCATTTAAAAATTGGGATGAGATCTTAATAGGGAAAAATTATATTTCCATTTTCCCCCTACATTAGGATAAAAACATTTATCTGAATGTTTTTATGCTTTAAAGTCTTTTAGGAGGCAAAAAAAAAAGTCTATCATTTGAAATTTAATTTTAATCATAAGGCCCTAAAATTACATATTTTTTTCTGCTGGGTTAAATTTTTATTATAATTCTTAGTAGTAGAAAATGTATTATAACAAACATTCCATATATCTTGATAATAATAAACTAAAATTGTATTGGGAGTAGATGTCTTCATGAAAAGAATGGATGACCATTAGGGCTTTGGTTAAATGAGGCTTTGGATATACTAATAATTTTAGTATATTTAGTTTGTCTCTAACTTTGGCATCCTGTATTTGGAGATAATCTAGGTTCTGGGTGAGATGGTGGCATCTCTGGCATGAAGTGGCAGAAAGGGAATGAAAAGGGAAAGATCTGGTGTGATAGTTTCTCACATGTTGGATCAATTAGAGGAAGAGATTGCATGGAGGTCATGGATCTAGACAATTATATTCTTTTATATTAAAGTGATATTAGAAATAAATTGAAGCACCATTGTGTAATGGACAATTTATTCTTTTAAAGCTACTTGTTTTGCTGCAAAAGATACCTCCACTTTTACCTGTGATAGATTTTGGAGAACCCTTGGAGATTCTGAAAATGGCCTTGGAGAAAAGACAATGAGGTGGGGAGAGATGTACTAGTACCCACAAGCTTTCCCTGAGGCATGCTTCTTGACCTTGCACAGCTCCATTCCCTCATGGGTAGCAAGGGCAGCTATGAGCGTGGCTGAGGCCCTGAGTGTGAAGCGCCCAGGTGGAGCCTGGCATCCTCTGGCTCCAAGCTACTTCTCATCGATGGGACCAGCTCCAGGGCTCCCCCAGAGCACAGCTAATGAAGGTGTTCTGGAATCTTACCTCAAGTATGCTAATTTCTTGCTATTTTGATTTCCATTTGCTGGGAAGTCTGTGAGGTTGTGAGGGAGTACCTGTTGCAAACCTCAGTTAATAAATGTTTTTGGTATTTCCCTTCATCTTGAGGTATCAAAGATGTGATATCTCCCACAAAGAAGCATATGTGAAGGCTTTGTTCAAACTATTTTCTTGAAGTGAGAGGATGAAAAACCTCAGACAGGAAAAGAATGAGGCAGAGACAGACACCAAGCCAGGTTCCCACAGAGAGTTTATTGAGGGAGCCAAAGCCAGTGAGAGGACGGAGTCCTACTTCAACATCCCTCCTTGAAGTGCTGGCCTTCACATGACAGAACACTGGGCAGGGAGGGCCTGCCCCTTCTGGGGCCACATGGAGCCTCCCACACCACAGCCTGTCTGGCCCCAAAGACCCAGACATGAGAGAGAAGACATAATTTGCACCCCAGAGGGTGCTGAGGGCACATCTTACCCATCCCACCCTCCCCTAAAGAGCTAGAGCTCTAGCCATCAGGGCCACTGGAAGAAAGGCCAGGACTTTTGGCTCTCTGATAAGCCAGCCTAATCCTCAACATGAAGGCCTGAGCAATGGACCTGGCTGACAGCTCAGGTCAGGTCTGGACCCTCACGTCTATCCTAGGAGCTAACACTTAACAACCAAACATGATTAAAAACATTCAGGACCCTGCTGGTGTAGGTTATACCCCAGATAATAGCAGTCCTGCCAGACCCTGGCCAAAGCCCCAAGCCAACTGGGCGTGAACATGTGAAGAGACCACTCTGCAGGGAGAATCTTCCAGGGCCCACCTAGGGCCCTGAAGCCTGGGCTTCTGTTTCTCCCCATTCAATGCCTATGAGTCCCCCAAAATCCCCCAGAAGAGAAAAAGGGGGGAGGAGGGGCAGAGGCTCACCATTATACTTGGCTATAGGTCAGACCTACTGGGGTGAGGAAAAAGCTGTAGAGGGGTGGGACACTGAGGCAGGGGTGCTGGGGTGTTCCTCAGACTCTGGCATGTCGTCCTGGAAGTACTCAGCCTGGCGGTACTGCCACAGACGAAGGTTCCCATCCCACTGTAGGGCAGATGGTGGCAAGTAGTCAGGGCGTGCTAACCCCCTCCCAGGTCCAACCCTCAGGAGCACCCTCCACAACCCTTGCAACCTCACCGAACTGCTGACAATCTTCTCCTCAAATGGGTGCCAGCTGACGTCTCGCACGCAGGCCTTGTGGTTGGTCAGCTTCTTTACAATGTGGCCCGTGAGGAGGTCATACACTGTCCAGGAGAGGCCGGAGTTGGGAGGGACACTGGAGGACCTTCTAGCCACCCCTTCCCTCGCCCTGAGCAGTACCACTTATTTGCCTCCTGGGCAACCTCCCACCTTCCCAAGGGAGCAGAGCCCACACCAGAAGATTGTTCCTTTTCACTTTCTTTCCCTGCCTCAATTTGGAGGTACAGCTCAGCAGAACCCTTAGCTAAATTTCACAAAGTCTACAACTGAAAAAACGCAACGTGGCTTTAAGGCTTTTAGCTACAATTTTCTAAAAGCCCAGAAGATGTGGAAGGTACCCCAAAAGTGAAACCACAGGCTGTCTCTACAGACATGTGAACCTCTGTTCTACATCTGGATGGGGTGTGTGTCTTCTCTCTTTCCGGATGGATGTCCTTCTGAGTGCCGCTCCTGGGACAGGTCTGTCTCGGGCGCCTTCCATCAGTAGTCTCGTTGGCTTCCTTTCTGTGCATTCCTCCTGTGGCTGTGTGTCCTTTACTACTTGCTGCTGTCTTTCTGTGTCATTTTATTGGTCTCTGTTCCCTCCTACTTTTCATCTGCAATCTTCCCTTGACAGGATAGGAAGCAGAACCGAGTGTATTTTCGGCAATCTATTATATTTACTGACTAGAAGTCTGTGTTCCTTTTCTTAATTTAAAATGCTGATGAATAGAGTATTTTCTATTCCTCTGTTTAAACCTCCCCTGCTCCAAGCTAAATTAAATTTCGCTTGTTGTCCTTGCTGAGCTTTTTAAGGTGGTTACTGGTGGTTCCAGCTGGAATGCCAGAGAAACGTTTCTGTCCTTCCTGAGGCCCCCGGTTCTGACCCAGTCCTTACCAACCACTTTGCCGGTGGAGCATCCACTGTAGATGAACTGCTGGCCGGTGCTGTGGGTGGGGGAGAATCGGCAGCGGATGAGGGTGTGCAGCACCCCATGGCCCCGGTAGGTCATTAGAGAGCTGTCTCCTGGGAGCTTCAGCTTTCGCCAGGCTGGTAGAGATGTAGGGACAGCTTAGGTTAGAGAGTCTGGAGAGAGACAGACACTCAGACACAACCACCTTTCTGATTGCCAGGTGGTGGCTCTTGCCTCCCCTGCTCCACCCCCAACCGCATAGTCAGTTGATGGTCACCAGTGTGATCCTGCAGGTTCTTAAAATATTAAAAACGTCTGTAATGGTTGGTTCTAAGTGGTCCCTAATCCAGTCCCTAACTCTGGGTACCCTTGGCTCTCCCCATGATTAAGTTAACAAAGAGTTAATGCCTGGCAAAGGGAAGTGGGGGGAGGAGCCAGGACTCAGTTCCATGCTAGAGCCACACCCACTTGCCAGGCCTTTCCAGGGATTAAGTATTTTCACTACCACCCCTGACTCTTAACTCTCCAGCTATCAAGTTCTACCTTCCAGCCTCACCTTTTTTGGGCACCTGCTGCCAGCGGTAGTCCCAGTTCTGCTGTGTGGCAGCCTGGCGTGAGGCTTCCATGCCTTCCCGGCTGGAGAAGCGCCGGATATCCCAGAGCTTGATGGTCTGATCTTTGGAGTTGGAGATGAGATACCGGGCATCCCCCTGTGAATCCCCAGATGGGTAGTGAAGTATCAGAGCTTGTAAATGTTGGTGTCTGTCAGTCCAGCTTCCCTCCTTCAGCGAAGGGGTAAGAACTCCTGTCCTTTGACTTTGCATCATTCAGTTGGGCTCACCATCAGTCTGTGCCACAGATCCCACCCCCGGGTAGGTTTCCCTCCTTTGCCCAGAGTACCAGCTGGGCCTTGTAGCCTTATTCACGAATGGCTTGTCTTTGACTTTTCTTATACAGAAAGTGCTGCCCTGCTCCTTGAGACAAATGGGTAAAGATGGCTCTCATGGCTCCTGGCTTAAGCCCCTTCCCTAAACTTCCGCTCTTGCAAACCTTGGAACTTGGCCAGTTCCCACACTAGCCCACTTTGACGCTGTCCTGAACAACTGGAATTTTAGTAGTCTGACTGTGCAGCCTCATCTCCCTGCCCACCTTGCTGTCAATGAAGGTGATGCCATCCTGGTGTCCAGCCAGTGCGCCCACGGGCTTGGGGTCATCCTCCCGCATAGTGCGTCGATCCCACACTTTGCAGATGGCATCGTCACCCCCAGAGAACAGAATTTGGGAGCTTATGTCAGCAAAAGCCACTGCATTCACATCATCCTCATGGGACTCAATCTAGGGGAGAAGGAGGCCAGGATACATAGGACCCCTTTCTAGGTCTTTGAATAGGCCAAGGACCATGAGACAGAGGCTCTAAGTCTGAGGACAATACCTGAAGGGTGCGCCGGTTCTGTTCTCGATCAAAGACATACAGGCAGCCGTCATTTGCCCTGAAAGGGAGGGATAAAGAGGGCCTTAGAGCCAGGACAGAGAGGACCATGTGATGTGTGCTCTGTGAATCCCCAGGCCTTTAAGAGGCCTTTGTCTCTTCTTATATGAGGCGTAGAATAAAGCTTATTTGTGTTGACAAGACCATTCATCTCAATCGGAAAAAGGTGAACAAGAGGTGAGTCAATTTGTAAACCTTGACCTTGGAGAAAGGCTGGTTATTTCCGACAGCTGCCGGGATGGGGATACCCAGTGCAGTCTGTATAACAGCAGAGCTGGTCTCTGGGAGAACTTCTCATTAACTCAGAGAGCTCTGTAAACACTTACCCTCCTAGCACTTCTCGTCCATCTGAGGAAACAGCAATGGAGAAGACAGCAAAGCGACGCTCATCTGGCCTAAAAAGAGAAAGAAGGAGCTGGGATAAGGGGACTCCCTTCAGCCTTTGCTAATGTACAAGGAGCCTACTGAGGGTTGAAAGGTGCTTCCAAGGGGAAAGGAAGTCCTGTCAACACATGCAAGAATGTCGATCACCTTAGTCAGATAAAATCTTGCAACCATCTATTTAACCCTGGTCGTCTGGCTGACAGGATGGTGGTTCCCTCCCAGGAATCCACAGAGAAACTTGTAACCAGTGTACTTTCCCCTCTAAGCAGGAGTTACAGTTCAAAAGGTTTACTCCTGGAGAGCCTTCCTTGAGAAGTTTGTGGTGAGTTTGATCAGGAAGGGAAGCCAGTACCTTAGATCCAGGGCAGTGTGTGTGTCTCCCTCCCCGTAGATGTTGCAGATATGAACTAAGAGAAGCAAAAGAAACAGGAATCTTTTAGGGCTAGGGGAAGGAGGGTGGCTGTGAAGCTAGGGAGGAGATGGGCAAGGATGACAAACCCTAGGAGAGTTCTTCCCACGGTGTGTGGAGTCCTGGTTCAGATATAGGGTTTTGGAGACCTCAGGCCCTGGGCTGGCCAGACAGTGGAAGTCTGGAGCATACTCACTATAATCAGACCAGCTGGAGTACAGGAAGTGGTTCCCATCGGGGGTGAAGGCCACATCCAGGACACTCCAGCCTACATCTCGGGCTTTGATGCTCTTGAACTTATGAAAGCGTCCATACCGGCAGTCATATAGTCGGATTGTCTGGTCTGCGCGAGAAGGGATCAGAATTATGGAACACCGTCCAGGAATCCTTCCTAGATCAGACCTCTCTCAGTGTATCTCAGAATCTTCCCTTGACCGTGGGAAGTGTGTACTGGTTAAGCCTCCTAAACCCAGGTCTGAGGTCCCTGGGTTTGGGCTTCTAGCATCAGTCAGGGGGCGCTTCCTTGTTCCAGGGTAGTATGTAGGACCAGGGTCTGGTACCTTGGCAAGCAGACATGAAGATCTGACCGTCTTTGCTGTAGATGCCACAGAAGGCCTTCTGAGAGTAGGTATCAGTGAAGCCCAAATCATTGGGCAAGAAGCTGGGGAAGCAGATGGAAAGTGAGGGTGAGGGGAGCTTAGGATGAGGCGTGTTCCAGTTAGCAGAATCCTGACAGCTGGATGTCAGTACAAAGGCATTCTCTTTCTTTTTGGCTTTGGGTACAATCCCCTTTATTTTATGCATTCCATTATTTTCTGAATTTTCTAGACTTTTCCACCTTCTTCACTCTCAAAAGCTTCAACCCCATTTACCCTAACCTTAATATCCCTAAGGATCCATTGACAGTTATCCCTTCCAAGTTCAGGGGATAAGGCCCATGTGGCCCTTAGAGTCTCTCCACTGAGCCCCATACTCACTGAGACATCACTCGAGACCGTTCTCCAAGGGAGAAGCTTCCCTGGTGGCAGAGGCCCCGTTCTCTCTAAAGAAAAAGTTTGGAAGATATTGGTAGCAAAAACAGAGGATCATTTCAGTCACACCAAGAGCCTCCCTCTACCCCAAGACATTGCTTTTGCTACAGAAACAGATACTACACACAGAATCATGCCCACCAAATTCTGACATAAGCTGGCTCCATCACTTGAAGCTTCCTTGGAAAGTTTACTTCCCTTTTCCCTGAGTCTGGGAGGCAGGTTACCTTCACAGGTCTGCTGCCAGGCTTGCTGGTAGGTAGGGTGGAGAGCCTCCAGGTAGGTGAAGAGCCTACCTGGTACAGCATTTGAGGAAAGCTGTGCTCCTGGGCTGCCCGCCTAAGCCCCAGCCGCCCAGTGGCCAATTCCACTTGAGTCTTGATCTCATTGCATTCCAGCTCGCGGGTGTCAGGGGTTGCATCCACTGTAAGTACCAAGAAGAAGTTTCATCCTAGGTCTTTACCCCAGAGGGCAGTTAGCAGAACTGTACCCAAGCCCACCCCGAACATAGCTGAATAGACGGGGACTGCCCAGGACACGCTCCTTCCCTGGGTTGTTTTCATCATCTGGTTTCAGTTTAAAATATTGTTCTTTGCCAAAATTATAAAAAGGTTTTTTAATGAAAGTCTTCTGAAGTTAGGGTCTCCATCTGCATTTCCTCTTACCGGGTGGGTTGTATCGGTCCCCAAGGCGGCCATCCCAGGCGCTGTCATGCTCTTCCTCTGAGTCCGAGAGGGCCTGGATGAGTTGTAAATTTGCTGCACCTCCTCCCTGCACCAATCTCACTTGGCCTCTGTGGAGAGACCCCCCCCCCATGATAAAGGGGGAGCTCCTTTCCCCCAAGCCAACCAAATTCAGATTCAATGGCTATCCAGCTCTATGGTATTCAAGCCCTCATAGTGCCCCAGTTTTGAGGTTTGAGATTGACCAGACCTTGGCTCTTATTTTCAGCCTCCTGTCACTCTCAGAAGAAAATTCTCACTCTTGGAGCAGGAACAGAGAACCCCAACATTCCATGGAGGTTGACAGACCTATGGAATTGATTTCCCAGAAAGCTAAAAATTCTAAGTACATTTGTTTTTGAACCACTCTGCCTGAGGAGTCCAGCACAGAAACTGGTATCTGAAAGGATCCTCAAGTTTGCCTTCTCCTTAAGGAACCACAGCCAAGAAACAAAGCTAGTTATACCCCTTTCCAATCAATTCCTGGTGGTCACTTCCTCAAAGCAGTCTTTCCTCAAGAACAGGATTAGTTAGGTTAGTTTAAACTTGTTTTTCAAGTAAATCCACCTGGCCTTGTATCACATGTCAAGAACTTCACTTAGGTCCACCACCCACTCTTCACCCCTCATCTCACTCTTTTCCCACTCGGAAAACAGCCCCAATTGTTTTTTCACTTACTTGAAAAATAGGTTACAGTGGGCTCGTCATAGCTACAGAGGCTCCCCTGAACAGTCCCCTCAAAACAAGAGCCAGTCATCTTGGGGACCCTCCTGTTAAGAACCACTCTTAACGGGAATGGAGCTGAGTGCGGGAGTGCCCAGCAGGGAAGTCTGTTCTGTTCAAACGGAGCAGCTGTCCGGGGCTAATCCCATTCCCCATCCTCTGTAACTTCCCTGCCTGCAGTCAGGATCAAGGGATTGTGGTGGCGCCTGGTGGGGACACACCACGGGGTAAGTTACCTGCGGAGGAGATAGGCCAGTACCTGGGCCAGATCCACATCTTCATCCTCCTCTTCCTCTTCCTCACTCCGACGCAGGCCAGCCCCTCTTCGGGGCAAGCCCTCAGAGGGGTCTCTGGACCCAGATCCTGCACTACTGCTGTTCCGTGATCCCATCTTCTGGTTACAGCATCCTTAGGTCCTGTGCAGGGGCTCCTCCTGTCACCTCCTTGGGTTTGGTGAAAGCAAAGTCTGCTCTAGAAATACCGGGGTCGCCAGAGATTGGGCAGCAGCTATTTCTAGGAGGACCCTTCCTAGGGACTGAGATCCCTTCTTTTTAGCCTGTGACAACTCCCAGGGCTTCGGGAACATTAACCTTTTCCAAGTCTGTGAAGCAAAAACAACAGAGTGAAGCCAGGGCGCTACCCTAGTTCACCGATGAGACTCCCTGAAGAGGAATTTCTCAGTTTTCTGCCTCAAACTCACCTATCAAAGTCCCTCGGGGTGGGGGGTAGATTCCCAGGTAACCTCTCCCGCCGACCAATCACAACCCCTCGCGGAAGAAAGCACCTCATTAGCTTATCTCATCAAGCCAATCAGGAACCTTAGGACTCGGAGACCCCCCGACGCCCCCCTTACCGACCAATCGGAGCGTTCCCTTGCGAAAGCCGGCAGCAACGAAAACCAATGAGGTTATAATTCGGGTCTAACACCCCCTCCTTCTCGCCCCACGCCCACGTGGTGTGCCGGGGGTGTGTACGTCAAGGGGGGGCGGCAGGGGGAAGCCGAGAAGCGCCTCCCACTGAAGTCGGCGGTTACCGCCCCGCGCGAGACCACCCACCAGCCAGGAGCGTTCGCAGGCCCTGCAGTGGCGCGAGGCCTTGTTTATACCGCCTGCAGCTGCAGACTCTGCCCACCGCTCCTTCGTCACGCGCCTCCTTCGTCACGCACCTCCCGGCTTCCCCGCCGGCAGCCTGCAGACGTCATGCAGACGCTCCTGGCGGCCCCGCCCCCTTGGCCCGCTAACTGGCCAGCTGAGCACGGTGATTGACAGGTGGGCGGGAGAAAGTCGGAGAAGGATCTGAGGGGAGGAGAGCGACTCGACGGAGGAGGGCGTTCGCTCCCGGTGGGGAGGAGTAAGTGGGGGACCTGCTGCTTCCTGAAGCAGAGACGACGGAACTGGACTACAGATGAGGGGCGGGGCCACCATTACACAAGAAGTTGGAGCCGTGTCTTAGCAAGACATACAATTTGCTCTCGGCCCCTTAAGTTCAAGTGGCTTCGCGCTCTCAGACGATCTCTAAGGGCGTCTCCTCTCCCCCTCCCTCGGCCGCAGCTTTTGTCTTTCTGCAGGTTGCCGCGTCCCGGCCTAGCCCTGCGCCTCAGGAGAGCCTGCGCGTCTCAGGTTGGGACCCCGGCTTCTCCACCCTTCCTTCCGGGCTGAGCTTCCGGAAGCCTCGGGTGGGAGACCGCCCCTTTCTACATCGCCCCTCAGCCGCTTTGGCACTTTTTAGATGACCCCTGGCTTCGCTCCGCGGTCTTTGCAGACGATTCCTAACGCACTCTCGGGTCTCCGCGGGCCCTTCCGGTTTCGTCAGTTCCCCTTTCGCGCCGCGATAGTTCCCCGCGGCCAGTGCTCTTCCCCGGCGGGGCGGCCCTACCCCGGACTAGGGGCTCCGCGTGCAGCGCCTTCTCCCCTCCCCAGTGGGTTTATGAGTAACCCGCCGAGTCCAAGGATCCTCGCCCGGGCTGGCGGGGAAGAGGGTGTGGGTTGAGTAACCTCGCCGGGCTGGGCTCGGGGGCCAGCCTGCACCTAGCGCCCCTGGCCCGCGCTCTTCTGCACGTGCTGCGCGTTACCCCCGGCCAGAGCCCTGAGGCCCTTGCATTACTCGGCCCTGCCTCTGGAGCTGATTTCCCGGGCGGGCGAGGGTGTGGTCAGGCCTTAAGGGGACGCCTCTTATTCTAGACCTAAGTGTATCGTTTCTGGTCACCTTGGCCGGCTCCCAATGGGCGTGCAACGTGTACAGGACTCTGCTTAAAAGGGCCCCTGACTTGTTTTGAAATTGGCCGCTTTCACCGTCTTGAAATTATTGGTAAATTCTAAACCAGTGTCCCCGCTCCCATCGCCACGCCCCGCATTTTCATCTTGCCCGGGGTTCTACTATTTAACCGGATCTGCTGGTCACCCATCTGCTCTTACTATCTGTGCACTGTAAGGTTGAGAATTTCGGGTTCTGTAGTTTCTGGGTTGTCTAGCCTGGAAATTTTGGAGTCATTTAAAAAACAAAACCATTCCCTCTTTACTCTTTAAATTCGTCAAGTCTTAGGAATTCATCTTCCCTTCCCCCCACACAACCCACCTGCCCTGCTTACAGATTTTTTAGTTGATTGGTTGAGGTGGTTCTCAGCATCACACTAAGTCAAAAATTTTCATTACTTCATGCCTCACCTAGTTGATTTGCTGGATATTTTCTCCGCTTGTGTTTGGTTTTTAAGAACCTGCAAGAGGGTAACTTACTGTTTCAAATACAAGCTTCCAGTGAAGTTTTTTTATGAACTTTTTTTGTTATTTTTGACAAGCAAATATGCTTATAAACAATTTGATTGTTTCCATCCCAGGATGGAATGCGCCGGGCAGCGCCTCCTCCCCTCCCCAGTGGGTAGCTAGATTATGCTATCTTCCCTCTTCCTCACCTGCTAAATCTAGCTAAATCCTAAATCTAGGATTTATATTCAGCAATTACTGATAATAGTAAAACACTGGAAACAAAGTAGACTCAAATATATCACAGTACTAGACCAGCCAGTTAACTACACAGACATGCCAGGTATCAATTAATGTTCTAGACTTCTATTTTTATGCCATGTGGAATTGTGGAAGTTACATTGCTAGGTTTTAATTTTTCATTCTGATGACAAGTTAGGGTGGATGCAAAAACTGTGGTTTTAATTTTACATACAAAAGTCTAAAAGTACCCAGGCTCATTGTATCATCAAACAAATAAAATGGGACTTGCATGAATTAAGGCCCAAAGTATAGCATGAACAAAGCATTATAATTAATATAATTTGAACATGTGAGTTCCTCAAAATAAAAAATTTCTGTTAAACTCATTTCCTTAATAATGCATTTTTTAAAGATTTATTTATGCATGTAAGAACTGGGGTACAGGCCAGATGCCGGGAGGGTGAGAGGATCCACCAGAGACAGAGTGAGGAACAGAAAAGGCAGACTGACCAAAATACACTGCTGAGGAGAGCAGTGGGCAAGACAGGAGAGGTCTGCCTCGCCATTTGGGGGTCTCCCTGGCGGGCCAGTGATCGAACTCATGCTACAGTGGCTGTGGATCGCTTCATAGTGCGGTGTTTAACCCCTTATGCCACCAGGGAGGCCCAATAATGCATTTTTTGATTAACTTTTCCCTCATAGCTTCTTAGCACATACAAATCCAGTTTAAAACTAAATAAAGTCGGGCCTCCCTGGTGGCACAAGGGGTTAAACACCACACTACGAAGCAATCTACAGCCTCTCAGCACGAGCTCAATCCCCAGCCAGCCAGGGAGAAACCCACATGGCACAGCAGACCTCTCTTGTCTTGCCCGCTGCTCCCCTCAGCAGTGTATTTCAGTCAAAATCAGATTTATGGCAAAATGAGTCTTAAAAGTCAAAGAATATAGGATTTTATCTCTGGATCCGTTTCATCTGGATCTGGGTATTTGTATGAACTGAATTAAGTCACTTGTTCTTATATTTTTCAAAATGTATATGAGTATTCATGTCTTAGGGTATTCTATGTGTTCTATGAAAAGAAAATGGCATTTCTTTAAAAAGAATTATATTATGTCATTTTAATCAACTCTGTGGGCCTTCTCATGGTTTTGGAATTTGGCACGTTGCTTGCTGACAATTTGTGAAGTGCTTTTTATTTTATTTTATTTTTTTTAAAGATTTATTTATTTATTTATACAAGCACTGGGTACAGTCAGAAGCGCGGGAGGGTGAGAGAATTCACCAGAGCCAGAGCAGGGAGCAGAACAGGCAGAAGGACCCAAGTACACTTCTGAGGGGAGCAGCGGGCGGCAGGAGAGGTCTGCGCGCCTGTGAAGTGCTTTTTAAATAGGCAAACTCTCTGGTCCCAAACTAAGCTTCAAGCCACAGAGAAGTTTTCTACCTTCAGCTCCCATTTTAGTATTGGTTCTGGAAATTGCTGAGTATAAATGTCAATTAGTTGACTTCCTGTTTGACCTGCCTTGCATGTTTCCTGCTCATGACCATGTCCACTAGGGGGCGGTCTGGACTAGAGAGGAGAGCAAATTTTTCATGTTCTGGCTAACCCTACCTTCCCTCTTCCTTACCACAGCACCCTCTAGGGAACTACACAGAGCTCCTGGGACACGTGTACAGTTCCAGGCAACAAAAGGAAAAGTTCTGTCTTCAGAAGTGACTGATGACATTTGTTTATACAATATTTTCTTGTAGTATTGTCTGTGTAGAAGGAAATGAGGAAGTACATTAATTTACCCAGGGCTTAAAATGTGTTGACTATAAAGCAGTTGAGTAGTTAGGAATTTCTAATAATCTTCATGTTCTAGGTCCTTGAGAACCAAAATTTTTGTTTGTGGGGAATAGATGCTACAGATGTGACATAGAAGTTAAAAACCCTTTAGAAATGAGTTTGAATAGGATGTATCAGTATGAACTCATGATGAATTTTATCTTCCTATCCCTATCCACTGAAAAGGCCTAGAAAACAATGGCTAATCCAACAGCAGTGAACACTCCTAACGCCAAAGTTGTGGTCTTAAAATACCATTTCTCACTAAAAAGAAACCAAATCTTGGCAAAATGGCTGGTTCCAGTTTCTAGGGCAGGAAATGTACATAATGTGTAGAACAACTTATCATACCAGATAGCAAAGAGGCCAATAAACATTCTCAGGGTAAGGTCACAGAGTCACAGAAGCCAAACTCTCGTGGCCAAAGATGGGACAATTTGAGTGTTAATAAAGATTATTTAATAAACACTAAGTATGTTTAAATTCATGAGTTCATAATGGTGGTGGTGGTGTGTATATATAATTGTTACCTTTTCGAAGGATGATAGGAAACTAATCCAAATAATTTGGACTATGGTAAATAAAGGGAAAGAATCAGTTATCTTGTTCCTCAAATTATAATTTTGTGTAATGAAACAAAATGAAAATGAAGGATAAGGGAGTGCACCATTGTCAAAGTATTCCAACTATTATAACAGCGTTAAAATACGCCTGTTTTGGGCCTCCCCGGTGGCGCAGCGGTTGAGCACTGTGTTGCGAAGCTGCCCGCAGCCTCCGCAGCACCGGTTCGATCCCCGGCAGCTGGCGAGGGTCCCACATGGCGCGCAGACCTCTCCTGACTCACCCGCTGCTCCCTTCAGCAGTGTACTTCGTCAGTCTGCCTGTTCTGCTCTCCGCTCTGGCTCTGGTGATTTCTCTCACCCTCCCATGCTTCTGATTGTACCCAGTGCTTGTATAAATAAATAAAATATTTAAAAAAAAATACGCCTGTTTTGAAATCTCTAGTTAATTAATGAATCTATAGACTGAGAATCTAGACCTAGATTCTTCAGTGGTTAAAGTGAATAAAAAGAAAGGAGTTTAGGGCCTCCCTGGTGGTGCTCTGAGTTAAGTCTCAGCTCTATGAAGCTATCTATAGCTACTGCAGCACAAGTTTGATCCCTGGCTAGGGAGCTAACCCATATAGTGCAGCAGACCTCTCCTATCTTGCCTGCTGCTCCCCTCAGCAGTGTATTTCAGTCAGACTACCCATTCTGTTCCTCACTCTGTCTCTGGTTAATCCTCTCACCCTCCCCACACCTCTGGCCTATATCCTAGTTCTTGTATGCATAAATAAATAAATTAAAAAAAAAAAAAAGGAGTCAAGAGCCTGTAGATTGAAAGAGACTTTTAAGACATGAAATTTCAAAAAATGGGCAAGGCTAAACTGT